GTCTTTTTTTGGTAAACAGTGGTATTTTTGACTTTTTGTTAAACACCACGAGTCTGATTTATTTGATATTATACATAAATGTACTACAAGTTGCTCTCACTAAGATTTGCTTATTTTGTGTTAGTGTCTTCAATTATTTAATTGAAATGTGCAACACAGAGGCCTGTTTGTTTTCCTTAATACCGATTGTCTCTTGACCATGCTTATTTCAAAGTGAATAATGTCGATAAAGTTATTTATTTAACTAACAATTAAAGTGAAAGTTTAACATCAGCAGTTTAGTTTGAATAATAAAGTTTCCATTTTGATTTTTTTCAGTACCCAACAGTGTTGTTCTTGCTAGAGATGATACTCAGATTACCAATGATACAATAGCTGTAACATGGAGAAGTAATTCTGGGGATGTAGTTGATTACTACACAGTGCAGTGTTCATCTGGTGGTACAACCAAGGACTCATCTGTATATTATGTTGATGATACAGTCATTTACAGTGCTAAATGTACTGGGTATGGGACTGCAGGGAAGTTAGAATACATCACAGTGACAGCAGTGAGTGGAAATATTAGCACCACTGGAGCAGAAAGTGAACCATCAACAATGAATATACATACAAGTAAGAGGTTGTTTTATAATATGTGAATGATGAATTACACAATATTATTAATCGTCAAAAACATGAAAGAATACTAAAAAAATAATTGAGTCCTTGAGCAATAAGCGATTATGAATAATTTTGTTATATTATGAGCAGTACAAATACAGGTACATTATTTTTTTGGGGGGGGGGCTAATATTTAATGCGAGCAGATATATGTTAAGCAATATATATATAATGCATTTCGCGATAATTGCGTTTTTCGTTTTTCAGTAGTTTTAGAATGGTTTCCTTTTTTCTTCCTTCATTTCAAAGTGAATTATTTAGCTAACAATTGAAAATCAGCAGTTTGTTTTGAACAATGGTGTTTTTGTTTTATTTCATTTGCTCAGAACCCAACAGTGTTGATCTTGCTAGAGATGATATTCAAATCACCAATGATACAATAGCTGTAACATGGAGTAGTAACTGTGGGGATATAGTGGATTACTACACAGTGCAGTGTTCATTTAATGGTACAGCAGAGAACTCGCCTCTACAGTATGTAAACGATACAGTCACTTACAGTGCTAAATGTACTGGGTATGGGACTGCAGGGAAGTTAGAAAACATCACAGTTATTGCAGTAAGTGGTACATCGGCGCCCAGTCAATCTGAAAGTGAACCATCAACAATGGATATACATACAAGTAAGTTTGTATAATATTTGTTTACAATTTGTTAAAAACGATTATGACATATTGTACTAGAAGTTGTTTTTCGGTTGATTATATCCTTTATGGGATATATTTGCCGTAGATTGAATTCAGTAAACAGTGGAATAGTTAAGTTACTGGATGTTGAAATCACAAATTAAACTGAGGTAGTTTATTTGAAACTTATTTTATTATTCATTCGGATTTAATTTAATCCATTTCAATTATAGTGAAATAATCGATGTATTTACAGTACAAATCCGCAAATCAGCAAATCTAGCATGTGGAATAAGATTAAAATTAATATGTACGTAATAACAACAATCTTAAGTCTTCATCATCTAATCAAATATCATTGGTTGAAATGTATTTAATCATTGGTGTGTTGTGTTACTAACGCCTAACTATGGGACTAAAATCCTGATGATATGATCCATATTGTGTGCTTTTGTAATAGGATTTACTCTCTAAATATCAGAATATTATGTGTTGCATGTTTATGTCGCCATTATGTTTTAATAGTGTGTATTAAAGCAACATCAGTTGTAACTATCAATCTTTTTTATTTTTATTAAAGCATTTAATCAGTCCCAATTTATAATAGTCATCGCGAAATTTGATGGATTCATGTTGAAAAATGTCAATCATTTTACCATCTTGAGGCCTTACATTGATAATTTTATGATTATTGCCCGTAATGTATACATCATGGGTCATAATTTGCTATGGTACACATCACGTAGCCAATGAGTAATGCATTTCAATGACAGATTTAATTGTACCTAAATAAAATAGCTTAGGTACCATCACAGAATCAGAAATAAGCATGAATTTTGACCTCTCAATCACGAAAATAAACAATTATGAAAATAGACAAACTAATCAATTTCAAAGCTTAAATGTCTGCCTTGAATAAAAATCTACGATCACATTGTCTGACAATCATTCTGATATACTTACTTTTTCTCTTAGAACCCAATGCTGTGGTTCTGGAAAGCGATGATGATTTTATCACAACTGATACAATAGCAGTTACATGGAGTAAACCCTTAGGTGAAGTTAGTAGCTATACTGTGGAATGTTCAAATAATGGAACTGGAGGTTATGAAAAAATATATGGTGAAACTGAGAAGTACCGTGGTATATGTAGTGGATATGGTCTGGCTGGAAATCTGGAAACTATTACAGTAACTGCTGTCAGTGGTAACATATCAACAACTGGTACAGAAAGTGACCCAACATCAATCAGTCTGAATACAAGTAAGTAATGTTTAAGCTTTCGACCATGCAGGCACAGCCTAAAAAAGGAACAATTAATTGAGTCACTATAATTGCAACCTTAGTGAAAAATGTATTTATTCAAGATAAGGTGAGAAAGGAAGATTTTACTGATATCTAGTGGGAAAAACTATTAGTGAGCGATTTTTTCCATGTACTTCATCAGTTCATCATCTTAAAACAGCGACTCATGGACTGATTTATGTGATTGCATATGTATGTCAGTCTATGTGTACATACCTATATTACATATATGCCTTGACATTCAAACTGCACACATATCCTATACTTCAAGATACATATGCATGTCCATTGAACTTATTCCACGTATATCTCAGTCACGTATGAATGGGTTCTGTTCAAACTTACATTGGACTTCATGGTACTTGGATGCATATCATTGTGTTATTCAAATATGACTCGAAATAGCTGGCTTATTCCAATAAACGTGATTTCAAAGCTGTATCCCTGATATTTTTTGTTCCACATATGCACATATATTTGTTTGACCACCAGATTCAAGATGGCAGAATGGTGGCCATTTCAATGTTAAAATTCATCAAAACAAGATTTTTTTCCATTTTTGAACTAAATTGTGTAATGATGGATTCCTCTCAATTCAGTGAATTCACTACATTAGCATGAAGTGACACGTATACCAACTATCTGAATGCTGCTGTAATTTCCCATATTATTGTCGGATCTATAAACATTTTTATTATGTATGGTTTCCGTTTTGCTGTACCATATTGTTACATGCCTGGGCAAGGTACTTTACTACTACCTCATCTCTCTACCCAGAAGTAAATGGGAACTTGATGTGGAGTGTTTGGTATTATCTATGTGGTGTGTACTCCCGGAAAGTTGAGATGGATAAATGTGTTTCAGTATATAGGCCAGGGTAATAATAATAATAACGCATGGCGCCAAGTGTTAGGGCATATCAGCCTGCTGCTGCTAATTTTGCACTAACAGTTTTGTTTTGTTTTTTCATAATATTTTCAATTCTCAAATATTTGTTTATACATATAACAAATGAACATACATGTAATATAGCGAATGGTGTTGTAGCTAAAATATTCTAAATATATAAAAAAAGTATTCAGTAACACGTGTGCCATCAGCATGGCATTGTTTATGGTCTAGGGATTGTTTAGGGGGGATTTAAAGGGCGGCGGTCGCCGCGCTGCACATGCGCGGAATATGGGTCTTTTATGAACAAAGATTGCGACTCTTGTGTATGCATGAAATTTAGACATTACTAAGCTTTAACCAGGTAATTTCTTTGGTGATTGGAAGGTATCGAAACAGTCACTGGTGTCGTACCTAGGATAGTGCATTGGATTTTTGGGAAATCAAAACAAAAATTGCACATGCGCCGCGCACAACGACGACCACCATTTAAAGAACGATGACGTTATTGTAAAAACTCTCAAAAAAACTGTTGACCCAGCTCTCACTGATTTTGATGTAAGACTCCATCATTCTTAATCAATGATTGAAAATCTATGCTCACATATGACATACTTGTGATCAATTTTCTTTTATAATTCACTGTAACATGACAGTATATTCTTGTAGATTGTTGCAATGGTGTGGTATGCAAACATAATAAAATTATTTCCATCGACAATATCTCACTTTATATATATTTGGTAGATTTTAATAAAACTGTAGAATTCTCTATGGGAATCACATGAGCTTATAAATACTAAATATCAGCCATTTAATACTGTAGAATACAAAATAGAATTTAGTTTCACTTACTTACCTAAAAGACAAAATCATCAAAAAGGTGTTATGTTTCTGCCTGTACCTCGCACATAACAATAAAACTGTTACAATATATTCAGCTAAATTAAGGCAAACTATTGCCTACCGAGTTCGGGCGCCATAAGTGGTCAAGTTGCAAATAAAAGTTTGTGACAATATTTAATTATCAAAATAAATAAAAGAAAATATAACAAGGAAAAATATTGCTCGTAAAAACTCAGAATCTGGCATTTCTTTAAAGGGCCACAGTACTCACACACTGCACGTTCGAATTAAAATCGACTCACAGGGGACACTCAAAAAATGCAAATGTTTACACATTTTTGTAGAAAATTGCTAAACGTCCGGTACACATTTTCAGGTTGGCTAGTAAAGACTAAAATTTAAATTACATGTCAGCTTGGTCACAGAATAAATCTTGTGTGCGAATATTAGATACGATGATTAACTTTGTTTAACACGCTCGAAGTTATCAAAATAATATGATGATTCGCGTCAGATCACTAATCCAAAAAATATTGAAATATCATTGTTGTAAATTTAATCCAACACACAAACCAGATCGTATGAATGTCAGATTATTTGATTTTAACAACTGTCAAGCAGTTGGACATGTTATCGGTCTAAATTAAACATCACACAAACCAGTTAACAATGCATTTTGAATCGGTTATATTGTATTGGCCAAGACACGACTAGACGCAAACATTATATGATTATATCTTCAGCTGTTTTAACTGATCGGATGTCATGGTAATCCATACTGCACTCACTAACACTAGAATAACTATTTATTATTGTATTCAGACACAACAACATATGTTGAAGTATCAACATATATATATACCAATACAGTGGATCCAACAACAGAAGATACAACTGGAGGTGCAACAATAATTCTAGACACAACAGTGGATGTGACAACAGAAGGTGAAGATGCAACAACTGGTGATATTGTGACAACTGGAGGTGAGGAGGCAACAACAGAAAGTGTCATGGAAACATCAGAAAACATTGAATTAATGACAACAGTCTTTGATACAACAATGTTTGCAAACACAGAAAGTGAGGATACAACAACAGAAAGTGTTATTGAAAGAACTGAAGGTGGGGATGCAACAAATGAAAGTGCAGAAACAACAGATGTAATTGGATTACCAACAACAGCCATAAATACACCAATGTTTGCAACAACAGAAGCTGAGGGCGCATCAACGGTAAATGTTGTGGAATCAACAGATGTAATTGAATTAACAACATTACTCATAGATAAAACAGAATTTGCAACAACAGAGAGTGCTGTGGCAACAACCGAGGATAAGGATGACATAACAGGAAGTGTTATGGAAACAACAGATGAAATTGGATTAACAACATCAGCCAGAAGTGAGACTACAACAACAGAACGTGTTATTCAAACAACTGAAGTTGAGGATGCAACAACAGAAACTGGTGGCGTATCAACTGATGCAGTTAAATTAACAACAATCATAGCGACAACCGTGTATGCGTCAACAGAAGCTGATCATGCAACAACAGAAGGCGTTAGAACAACTGAAGATGATGTTGCAACAACATCGGATTCCATTACAATAGCAACAACTCTCATAGATGCAACTGTATATGTGACAACAGAAAGTGAGGATGGCACAACAGTCATGGATACAACTGTGGGTGTGACAACAACAAGTGAATATGTAACAACAGAAGGTATTGATAGAACATCAGAAGGCGCCGAAGGCACAGCAACAGACATGGATACAACTGTTGGTGCGACAACAACAAGTGAATATGCAACAACAGAAGGTTTTGATACCACATCAGAAGGTGTTGAAGGTACAACAACAGTCATGGATACAACTGTGGGTGCGACAACAACAAGTGAATATGCAACAACAGAAGGTTTTGATACCACATCAGAAAGCGCTGAAGGCATAACAACAGTCATGGATACAACTGTGGGTGCGACAACAACAAGTGAATATGCAACAACAGAAGGTATTGATAGAACATCAGAAGGCGCCGAAGGCACAGCAACAGACATAGATACAACTATTGGTGCGACAACAACAAGTGAATATGCAACAACAGAAGGTTTTGATACCACATCAGAAAGCGCTGAAGGCACAACAACAGTCAAAGATACAACTGTGGGTGCGACAACAACAAGTGAATATGCAACAACAGAAGATTTTGTTACCACATCAGAAAGCGCTGAAGGTACAACAACAGTCATGGATACAACTGTGGGTGCGACAACAACAAGTGAATATGCAACAACAGAAGGTATTGATAGAACATCAGAAGGCGCTGAAGGCACAGCAACAGACATGGATACAACTGTTGGTGCGAAAACAACAAGTGAATATGCAACCACAGAAGGTTTTGATACCACATCAGAAGGTGCTGAAGGTACAACAACAGTCATGGATACAACCGTGGGTGCGACAACAACAAGTGAATATGCAACAACAGAAGGTTTTGATACCACATCAGAAGGTGCTGAAGGTACAACAACAGTCATGGATACAACTGTGGGTGCGACAACAACAAGTGAATATGCAACAACAGAAGGTTTGGATACCACATCAGAAGGTGCTGAAGGTACAACAACAGTCATGGATACAACTGTGGGTGCGACAACAACAAGTGAATATGCAACAACAGAAGGTCTTGATACCACATCAGAAGGTGCTGAAGGTACAACAACAGTCATGGATACAACTGTGGGTGCGACAACAACAAGTGAATATGCAACAACAGAAGGTCTTGATACCACATCAGAAGGTGCTGAAGGTACAACAACAGTCATGGATACAACTGTGGGTGCGACAACAACAAGTGAATATGCAACAACAGAAGGTGTTGATAGAACATCAGATAGCGTTGAAGGTACAACAACAGTCATGGATACAACTGTGGGTGTGACAACTACAGTTAAAGACATAACAACTACAATAGGTCATATATTAACCACAACAATTGAAGGAACATCATCTGCTGAATCAACCACTCCTAAACATATAACAACTGCTAAACATACAACCACGGAAAGTGTTCAAACCACTTCAAAAGTCCCTGTTATTACAACAACAACAAAAACAACAACATCTACAACAACAACATCAAATACACAAAGCTCAGTGTCATCGACATATATATCAGGTAAGTAAGAAATTAATCAGAATATATAATAATGTCGGTGAATTGTTAAGGGAAAAACACAGTCGAGTATACCACTAGATATTGCATCATTCACTACATATATGCATGGACTACAGGAAAGTGAAAATAATGAGTGAATTGTGCAATAACTACATGTCTGCAACGATAGTTTATTCCTTTTCTATTATACCAACTTCATTATATATTCGGATACATTCAAAAACATCTTTAAATATGAACGTTCTACTTGCTAATGTGGTTAAATGAATGGAGACCTAGAACTAGAATTAAGGTTTAGTGCTGGGCAAAAATATTTCATGGGTTGTTCTTGAAAATCTTTGTTATAACTATGTCATCAGCAGGGGAAATGTATAATTAGCTAATCACAAGAGTACTGCAAAGTATGTACCCAGGCAGTACGATAACGCA